CTATTATCGATAATTTCGGAGTTATGTTCATTTAAATTGGATACTGATATCGCTACTATAGGTGAAAGGAGTCCCTATCTCATATTGTAAGAGGGAAATGCTACTTGAAATAACCGGCATTATAAATATTATAAACTTTACTTTCTATCAAATGTAATACGGCATTGTAATATCTAGAGTAGCATGTTTATATACAGTAAGATGTTGAGCTTCTGATAAGGCTACAGACAGAAATAGAATTGTAAATCATGTATTAGGATATACTTAATTCATTGCACTTTGAGTAGTAGGAATAATGTCTGCGAAAATACTGTAATCATTTTTACATTGGATTAATGATGGTTCGCTGTAAAATATTGTGACTAATAATAAGGTGAATATGTTTAAAATATGGTAGAATACTGCTATACAGATTGTAGCTGCTAAGGCTACGGAGGGTATAAATGAAGGAGACATTAGATTATCTGATTATTCTTTCTAGAAGTCATTCAGTAGATGTATTCGGCTAGAGTAGAGCGGTGTGTAGCTAGTCTTTGTATTAGATCTAATAAAGTTCTAACTTTCTACAACTTTGAAATTTTCGTGATCGGATTTTACCCAATATTGTAAATAACTCTTGCTGATTTTGCTCATAATATTTTAACCATAAAGGGTCGTAAAACTCAAGGGCTGCAAGACTGCTCAATTTAAGTAAGATTTCAGAGTTGCCGATAAACTAATGATACAGTTGGAATAGTTCCCGAATTTATGCAATGCCTTCCCAAAATTCATTTTAACTCACCTAGACTCAATATTCCAGTAGACACATTTAATAGTATAACTGTGATCCATCTACGGAAAATTCGAAATCAATCGATGACTTTAATCTTAGTAACTCTTCTATTAACTTTAGAGGCAAGACTGATAAAGTGCTTGTCTTTACCCTACCGAGTTAGTTTTATCCATAGTAGTAAGATTGGATGTTGAAAAAGTAAAGAATTCGTTGATGCCGCTGGGTGGTAAAGGATTAACTTTGCAAACGACAATATCCGATACAAGGGATTTCCTAGCAGTTTAGAAAAATAGAGAGACGGAGTTTTTAAGCATTATTTTATAGCAGTAATATCTTATAGTAAAGTCCATGCTACACGCTTATCGATAATCTAATTCTGTGTTAATCATTCCATTTAAAGCTACCCTGAAAAAGAAACCTACTGTAGATTGGAGTTACCATCAAGTAGTTTATTTAGAAAGGCGTACTTTCCAGATACTATTTCAACTCGGCCGCCTAAAAAAAGAATAGCTCCTAAAATATCATTTTATTTAAAGGATATTGCGTATCGCACGGTAAGAGAGAATTAAATTGTAATGGACATGCTATGATGCTGATATTTCTAAGCTCTGAAATCTTAGGAAGAATAGAAACAAGTTTCATTATATGTATCTATTCCAATTAAATAAACATATCATTCATATACTACTACAACTCGAGCACATAAATGAATCTTACATAACCAAATACCTGTATGAGTAAAGAAATAGTAGAGTCTACCTGAATTAAAAGCATCATTAGAAAGCTGAATTGCAACTTTTTCTGTCCTAGATGAATTGTAAGCTATTCGGTATCCTGTCTTTCGAAATTCTGTTCCATTCTGAACTTGAATAGTAAGATTAGAACCTAGCAACATTAAGTACTAAATTATCTCATTTATTTACAATCACCAACAATAAATAGTATTAGTAAAATGACTCTACATCGATAATCTAAGGTATTCTATTAAAGCAATAAATTAACTCTTTTGCATACTTACAAGCCTCCTTGCAGTAAGATACACTAAAAGAAGCACCTATTGGTAATGTAAGTGCAATTCTATTCCCGATTTCATTTATAATATTCATCTGAGTTGTAGCCTTCAAAGCATTCTAGAATATGAATACAATTATTATTATCTTCTAGCTTTCAATAAGATATAAATTAATTCATATTAATGTACATATTTGAGAACTATATGATTCGCTTATGACTAGGAACTTTAAATTTTAAATGTACGTTAGTCGAGCAAGTTTTTAATTGATATCGAGAATAGGTTGTAATAAACGCTAGCTCTTATTTTATTACGGATTGATTTTCTGATCGTGAACGTAGTTATTTATAATATACCTTAGAAGCATCAGTACCGGTAAACTTGGCGTTTAATGTGTCCATAAAATAAATAATAGTCTAGGAAAATATAACTGCTTCATTAATGACTAAAACTCCTATCTTTTAAGCTATAATCGATTCTAGGTCATACTAACCTCCAAAATATTTCGTTTTATATCTATAGTGGTATCATTTAAGATCAATTTGTTGCTCATTATGGACAATCCGTCTATGTACGATTCAGCTTTATTTCCACTAAGTTCAGTGCTTAGATGGCGAACAGCATTAACAATGTAATTACAGTGAGCGCTATCGATCTTCTCTGCATTATAAATCTAGATCAATCGATAAAAATTATGCCAAAGTTTAATCTATAAGCAATATTAGCCTGCATGAGTATTAAAATAAAACAATTAAAGTAAAATACTGATTCTAATGTCTACAATACAGAATAATATTACCCTTACAATCTAATAGCATGTCATACAAAGAAAAATCGGGCTCTTAACCGTAGGTAATAAATTTTAAGTTATTGTATTTTCCAAGCAACTTACATAATCCAAAATATTATCAATTTGAATCGCTTGCGATGCAATCGTAGCAGAAATAGGATGAATGGAAGGTAATACAATACTTGATGTTAATAAGTTAGCACTTTCGATGCTCTGCAACATTAATTTCGAAGCGTTGATATGGTGCTCAAGTGAAGATTTAATCCAACTTGGATTGTTCTTGGACGTTGATATGGAAGTTGATAATGCGAAGCTTCCTAGTACAGAATTAGGCTTGAAAAATTCAATCCAGTTATTTTTACTGAAAGGCAACGTTGCTGAGACAGAAGCATTGGATGTTAAAGACGCGTTAATTGCATCATCTTCAATCATAAACGCAGGATACTCATTTTCAATTGATGAATCATATGCACTGCTAGAGCCGTCGTACTGCTTAGAACTATAAAGAGACTCCAGTCCTATTTGTGTTTGCTGAGGAATTCCTAAATTTAAATTCTGGATGGTGCTACTTTGCATATTATCAGATGTTGTATCCCATTTAAAGTAATCAGACGAGTAAAAATTTAGTTGACCAATGGAACTAGGGTTGAACCATTCCCCTGAAGTTATGAGTTTGTCTTTGCAAGAAGAACTCTCGATAAATAAGAAAAGTGCAGATTTTACTGAGCTACTTTTGGAGATCTGAAACGATATATCATTCGATGATTCGTGTAAATTCAGTAAAATACTGTTTGATATATTTTGCCTTGCATTAGTAGAGCTTGATAAAGAAGGAATGTAACTTTCAGAGGGAATTACACTTAGAGATACAAAGCTGTTTAAATTCTCTATCGACCTAGATATAGCGCCATCACTGCTAATGCTCGCAATCAAACTAGCACTACCAACGTTATAACTATCTCCTAATGTGGAACTAACGGAATCAACGTAAGAAATAGATGCTAACGAATCAGATGGTAGCCAAGACGTCAATGAATTATCGGTGCTCGCTGGTATGCTGCTACCTGTCATATAAAATATGGACGGAGTATCAACGACATTTGAGCTATGCTCATGCCATGTATGCAGAGCACTACGAGATTCAGCCACTGAAGTATTTCCAATATCAGACAAGAATTCCAACACAGCAATACTGCTGCTGCTAATGCGAATATCTATAACATGAAATAAATTAAAAACGGTACGAACTAAAAGTGAGCTACGTTGATAAATACAACTTATCAAAAAATTCTAAAAATATTTACTCATATTTTCTTGTAAAACCAGCTGTATGGTTTGTATTTACATCAGGTTACAATTATAATTATCACACAATCTGTCGTAAAAATGCTTCTGCGTTGAATTTAATTTAAAATTTGAGAATTATAAAGATAACATATCTGATACTAATAGCTAGATGCTTTAGTAATTTCTAGAGTAATGCAAGCTATATTAGAATCCAAGCTCTATTCTATAAAAATTACTGTAGGTTTTCTAGTGTCTAGCCTTTGAATACCGGTAATGCAATTTAAGCGTTCACAATATAGTAGACATGAATGCTAAATTTTCTAAAAGAATGTTATACTATAGCTGTCTCTCCTTTATCTATAAATATCTGTATTAATTTATATACTGCTTAGCTTGTATTCTACTTAATCCTAATAAAAATCATTAAGCCTTTTCGTTTAAATTATAATTTAAAAAATGTTTTCAATTTCTAGTCTATCCCCAATGTAAGCTTTCAATCAACTTTTAATTTATCACATTCTCTCAATTATAATTACTGTTTATCGATTTCATTTAATTCGTTATGTAATTTTAATTACCAGTATACTGATAAAATCACATACTGCATGAGATAGTAAATTTTCGAAGATTGAGTGCATATGTTACTCTAATATTAAAATTTATAATTAGCATCGTGATATAACAATTAAAAATGTCATTATTGTTATTGCATGTATTGTCATAGCTCTATGTTTCCCTTTAGTGTGTAACTGAATACCGCTAACAATGTGTAAAATACCTTATACTATCAAATGCTTATAATATTAGAATTTAAAATTATTATCACGATATAATATTACAATCATATATCCTAAATTCACTTTTCCCTTTATTGTGAAAATAAACGCCACTACCAATGTAAAGAATATGTTATGCCGTCAAAATAAAATGTTGATACTATTTTGGGTTGCCTGTACCTTGGATATACGAAATGTAATAATGTTATGATGTCGTAAAACTCCGTATTAGACTATTACTTAAGTTTTGTACCTCAAAAACAATTATAGGCATATAATCTCTTAAAACCTATACTAGGCCTGATAGTTAGAGAGCAATAAATAAAGAAGAGACGTTTGTAGAATTTTTGGAGTCTTATATGAACTACCACATTTTTGATTTTGCTAAGCAAAGGAGCAAATACTAACTTCATATATTTGGAACTAACGCTAGATAACATCTAATATATTAGGAAGAAATACGACAGATAAAGAAGTCTTTATGGTAATTGATTTACGATTTTAGTCTTATAGGATAGCAAATACTATATCTAGCTCATGTTTATCACACTTCTACTGTACAAGTAAGAAAGTAAAAATAAATAGCCGTGCCTTACCTTCAAATGTTGATGAGATTGATGCTTCATTCTTTATGCTTGATGTTATTTCTCCCATACATGAGAAAGATCTCGGCGTGTATGCCTCTATTTAGGATGCACGTTGATAAAAAGTAACTGTGATCAGCCCTTATTTACGGAACTTGTAATCTAACATTTATTTGATAATTATAGACTAACTTACTTAAAAAAGTAACTATATTGCAGTTAATTACTATTACTAATACACGTAAGATGTCAAGCAAGAAGAAAAGAATAAAAATATTACATTATCGATCAATTATCAGACATCCGTAACGAGTGGTAAAATGATTGAAAGCTGTTCACGATGAATTAGATATACTAAAATTGAAAGCAATTCATCACTTTAATTTTACTAATTAAGCATATACAAGTAGTTTTTACGATACTAGTCATCGTATTTTGTAAATTAGTTTGTTAGTCTCTAAAATTATTTATTACATGAAGTATTAATTGAAAATCTGGGTTAATTATTATTTACAATGATATTTAAATTAGCACCAATACTGTATGATAAGGTACTATACTTTCATTGTATGAATATAAGTAAAAACTCATAAAACTAATCTTACAACAAGCCACTTATTATACTTGTGAGGAAATCGTTAGTCTTACTTACAGTATCTCTCAGTAGTTAGTTACAGTGACTAAGTAGCTCGTAAGTTAGTTGATCACTCACATAATAATCCCAAAGTATTGGGTGTGAGTGACAGTAATATAATTTATGTAGTATTGTCACAGTGTTATATACTGTATTAGAGTAGAAATATCTATGTCAGGATAATTCTGTTAGCCTATCCTTATTTAGTTAACTTCTAACTTGGATATACCGTATTTTAATATAGCACTAACTTTTTATGACAGTGACACATATACACTGTGACAGTGTTATATCACACCGACGTATTGTTCTGTTGTTTAGGTAATATGTGTTTATTTGTTATTGTGATAAATTTGTTTATACCTATGTTGTAAGGCTCGGTATAGGAAACTAATATAATGTTTGTTTATTATTAGTCGCTGTTGTTATTGTTATTGTTATTGTATGTTACAACCTGATGTAGAAGAAGGTATTAATGCATAGAAGTTGTTTAGTGTAACCGTGCGCCAGCAAAACA